GTTTACATCCCAACATGATTGTAAATACTCAAAATGTAAGTAGCAACTTAATAAATTGTAACCGACATCAAATTCCACCCTACAATTAATTTTTCATGAGTGGAATTCATCTTTGAAAACACTACAATACATCTTGTGCCTGTTTAAAATGCAAGTTCTGAAGCTTTTAAATGAAAGTAAATGTGCGTCTATGGTTTAAACACATTGAAAGGCTTTTCACACCTTTCCCTATTCATAGATTATATCTAAAGGGATTTTTAAAGGTCAAGGCTAGTTCAGTGTTTGTTTAAATGTTTCCTGAATTCTCAATATATAGTGATGTGGGCTTCCCACATAAGATATAAGTAAAGGGCAAGGTGATTTCACTGCCATAAAAGTGTGCATGTTGGGGGCTTTTATTTCATTATGGTCCTCTTTATTACAATAAGGACATTTCTGATTTTTTTAGTTATCTTTTGTATTCCACAATGTTGATTAGTCGATTCACTAGACAATTCACAGTTAAAAATGAAAATGTAATTCCAGCAAAAGCTGTTTTGATGTAATTGTATCTGACATTTACCGTATTAAACAGAAACATGCTGCCATCTTCAGGCTGCAGTTGCATCTGCAGGCCATATAAATTTATTTTGTTAATGAACTTCCAGCTTCCTCCTGATAACCATGAATGGCTTTCTCACATGATTGTGTTAATAGCGTCTGTACAGGTGCTAAACATCCAAGGGGAATAAATCTGCACTTAGGTAAAGCTTGATAAATGGGAAGCTGCATTCACAGTACTCTGATACTGAATACTACAAGATGCATATAAGAAAAAGTGTGCCAACTTACTTGGTGAAAATAAATGCAAATACAAACCAAATGTATAATTCAAAAGTAGTGGTGCACCGAAATTTAAAATTCTGGTGCCAAAAACGAAAACTCAAAATGTATTTTGCCGAAAACCGAAACCAAAATGCGCAGTTTTTAAAAATTAATATATATTTTTTGGAAAAAAAACACACTGATTAAAAAAAGTATACCCCAATTTTTTTGTACAGTATGAAAGAGGATGTTACGGCGAGTAAATAGATACCCAACATGTCAGACTTTAAAATTGCGCACGCTCATGGAACAGCGTGAAACTATGGTACTTAAAAATCTCCATAGGTGATAGTTTAAAAATTTCCACAGGTTACCTGTGTAAAGTTACAGAGGAGGTCTAGTGCGAGAATTATTGCTCTTGCTCTGACGTTAGTGGTGATACCTCACGTGTGTGGTTTGAACACCATTTACATATGTGGGCATGGCCTACGTATGCGTTCACCACTACATGCGGGGGGACGGGGGGCACTTTAAACTTTTTTTTTTTTTTTACTGTATTTAATGTTTTATTTTTTTTGTTTAATTTTTTTTTTTAAAAGGGACAATGCAATAAAAAAATCACTTTTATTCTTATCACAAGAAATGCATGAATCCCTTGTGATAGAAATCATTAGTGACAGGTCCTCTTAATGGAGAGATATGGGGTCAATAAGACCTCACATCTCTCCTCTACATTGTAAAGCATTGGATAAAAAAAAAGCATTGATTTAGTGCGTTAAAAAAAAAAATGGCCGGAACGGGAAGTGACATTGCTCCGGTCCTCCAAGGGCATAGAGATGAGAGACGGCCATCTTTCCTTCACTCATCTCTGCTCAGCGCTGGGATCGATGGTTTCTCAGGTAAGGCTGAAAACTACCGAGCAGCGGGCAGGCGACAGCGGGCGAGAGGCGGGTTTTTCGGCACCTGTATCGGTGGGTTTTTTTTTTTATTTCAGCTGATGGCCGAAAGGAGTGTTTTCGACCAAAACGTTTTGGCCACCGAAATTTCGGTGCATCCCTATTCAAAAAAGCACAGACCACTGAGGGATTGAGAGTTACTGGGGTCTGGTAAGCAGTCTCTGTGTACAAGGCTGTGGAGAGTTGCACTTTAGTCTTTTTCTGTTTAGCACCATTCCATTTTTTTTCCATTAAGTTTTCTACATTGTGTTCTTTTTATATTTTAATAAGTGATTTTATGCTATTTGGAGGATTTTCCCACCTTTACATCTAATACTTGCCATATGGGGAGCACTCCGGATGATTGCTCGGAAGATGAACGGATCTTCCATCTTGATGCCTTTTTATCATCTAGAGTGCTTTTGACCGCTCAGTGAAAGAGGGTCATCAACATTTGGTAAGCAGCCTCCATTCTCACATTGGGAGTGAGCTGCTTTTAAGACTTCCTTTAGTCCTCATGCACACTGGACATTTTTACAGCGGCTGTTTTTGGCTTTTGACGTTTTTTTTCTACAGCCAGTAAACTCCCCAGCATGTTATCCTATGCACAAATAGACTGTAATCAATGTTTTTTGGCTGAAAAAAAAACCCAGACCTAGTGGGTTTCTAGAGGAGTTTTTTAGCTGTAAAAACTCTCTAATGCTGAAAAACGCGGTAAATTGCGGTAAACCGGTGTTTTGGACTTTTTGAGCAAAAAACCCTGCAAAAGACACGGCTAAACGCTAATGTAAAAATGCTGAAAAACTCTTTTACACAGCTAACGTTACCAGCATGATTAAACTGCCCAGTGTGCATGGAGCCTGATTGTGGCACCCATCTTTTCACACCAGCACTTTAAAGACTGCAGAATGGACTTTGTAAACCTCACCATTTTTTATGTTTTAGTAGTTTGATCACATGTTTAATTTGGGGTGTTTAATATGTTAAGCACTAAGTGCACATATTTCACTATTTCTATATGTAATGTTGATCTAATATTTTCCTTTGATGATTATGGTGAACACTTCAGAAAAACTTTGTCTTTAGATTTACATTAATAAGTAATTTAGGTTTCAAATTCATGAATACTTTGGATGAATCTTTAGCAAACATATTTATTTAAAGGATAAGTTCACCTTTGGGGACATGCTACATGTTTCACACGTTTTAAGGGTGAAACATATAACATGTTCCTGCTTCTGCAGCTGCTCCCCGATTTCCCCCCTCTCCGTGACAGCAGGTCGGGGATCTTCTACCCGTACCTGCTGTCTCTTGCCGCCCATATGGCTGCGTCATTCTTTTATAGAGTTCTGTGAATGAATGAACAAACTACAATTACCTACAGCCTTTGTGGCTGTCAGTTCTCAATGAACTACCAGGGCACTATTGAGCGCTCTTGGTAGTTAATGGATTATTCCTGTCATTATGTAACTGCCTACTCGTACGAGGTACAAGCAGACAGCTTACACTGACAGTCTACAGGAATCCTGCATTGCACCCGCAATCTGCTGATCACAGGTGCAATGCTTTCAAGGCTCCTACAACAACAAAAAAATAGTAAATGCGCATTATTTTACCTGCAAAAAAAATGTGCATTTATAATTTTTTCTTAAAAGGTGAACTTATCCTTAAAGTTACTGAAAGAGACAGATCATGCAGTACCTTCTTTTGGATAATAAGTAAATATAGTAGTATAAGCAACAGTATGTATTAAAAATCCAAATGGCTTTTTAATCCTGATACAAGGTGGCCACATGAGGCTATTTGACTTGCTCTGCACCTCACAGTGTGATAGGTAGTCTCAGAGCAAGCAGGAAACTTCTGATACATCCTGCAGATGTCACTGCAGGAAACTGCCTACTGTAAAAAAAAAAAAAAAAAAAAAAAAAAAATATATATATATATATATATAAAATGTTTATAAATATAGTATATATTCATTGCATGTATTTATATAACGCCGTCAATTTACTCAGCGCTTTACATAATATATATATAAATATATATATATATATATATATATATATATTACATTCGCGTCAGTCCCTTACCCCTCAAGGAGCATACAGTCTAAGGTCCCTAATGCACATTCAAATGTACACATACTAGGGCCAGTTTAGATAGGCGCAAATTAACCTACCAGCGTGTCTTGGGATTGTGGTGTGTGGAGTGAAACTGGAATACCCGAAGGAAACCCACGCAGCCACAGGGCAAACATGCAAACTCCAGGCAGGTGGTGCTAGTGTTGCCAGGTGGAAGTTCTAACCATTTAGCCACTGTGCTGAAAAATTATTAATAATCATACCTCTTTTAAAAAATATGACTGGGGGGAGGAGCTAATGGAATCACAAAGCTGGAGCTGCCCTGCAAGGTTCAGTCCACAAATTAAAATGTAAAAAATAAAAACATACGCTCACAGAAAAATTCTTGGTTTAATGATATGTTACTCTTAACTGGTTCATAATTAGAATTCTATCATAAAGGTGAAATTCATTAAGACACAAAGGTTAAATTCTCCAAATTGCATAACTCAATAGCTTTACTGTGGTCTTCACACTTCACAGGTCAGTTTTTTACTGAAATACTGCAATGATAATTCAAGCTGAACTCTGGAATAAGCAAACATTGTCTAAATACATTTAACATATGAACTCTTCTTGAATCCTGGTGTGCTTTGTGTATTTTTTCCAGATCCAGTGTGTAACTTTGTCTCTGTGCAAGGAGGTTTTATAATAAAGACCAGTCACTGCTGCCCTTTTGCCTTGTACACGGTGCATGGTCTTGTTTATGCCCCCTCCTGTAGTTTTCTGCAGGCAGCCTGTAATGATTGAAGCTGCTCTGCCCCTTCTATGGTTCTGGTCTCTGCGCAGGCTATGCACTGTACAGTGATGATGTCAGTGCTACTACTTTTAAAATGATATTATCTGTGTTTACAATGCCATTTAGTGCACACAAAGTAGATTTATATCCTTTGTGGCTATTGAGGACTATATTTAAATGAAAGCTTTCGTGCACGGAGTTCTGTTTTCACATAATTGCAAATCTATTTGGTAAACTGTTGTTTTCCGTATATGTCTGTTGAATTACATACATTTCTCCATTTAAAGGAAATTGTTAATATTTTCAATGGTCTGCTGTTTAAATATATTATAAATTCTCTTCATTTGAGACCATGTCCGTTGATCTGTCTTGATTTACCTTTATTATCTTTTTTTTTTCTATAGGATCCTTCAAGTCAAAAGCCTGGCAGAAAGAAAACAGTATCATTCAGTAGCATGCCATCAGAGAAGAAAATAAGCAGTGCCAGTGACTGTATTAGCTTCATGCAAGGGGGTTGTGAACTGAAGAAGGTCCGCCCAAATTCCCGCATCTATAGTCGTTTCTTCACACTTGATACTGATTTGCAGGCTTTACGCTGGGAGCCATCTAAAAAAGACCCCGAAAAGGCTAAGTTGGATATCTGTGCCATCAAAGAAATACGGCTTGGCAAGAACACAGAAACATTCAGGAATAATGGGCTAGCTGACCAAATTTGTGAGGACAGTGCTTTTTCAATAATCCATGGAGAGAACTATGAATCATTGGATTTAGTGGCTAATTCGGCTGATGTGGCCAACATTTGGGTTTCAGGTCTCAGATATTTGGTCTCTCACAGTAAGCAGCCACTGGACTTGGTAGAAGGTGGCCAGAACACCCCAAGGTTTACATGGCTAAAGTCTGTCTTTGAGGCTGCTGATGTTGATGGAAATGGAATTATGTTAGAAGATACAGCAGTTGAGCTGATTAAACAACTGTCCCCTGCTATCAAGGAAGCAAAAGTTAGATTAAAGTTTAAGGAAATCCAAAAGAGCAAAGAAAAGCTTACCACCAGAGTGACCAAAGAAGAATTCTGTGAAGCTTTTAGTGAGCTTTGCACAAGGCCAGAAGTGTATTTTTTACTGGTTCAGATTTCAAAAAACAAAGAATATTTAGATGCAAATGATTTGTTGTTGTTTTTAGAATCTGAACAAGGTATGACTCAGGTGACTGAACAAATGTGTTTGGATATCATACAGAAGTATGAACTTACTCAGGAAGGTCGAGTAAAGGGGTTCCTCACCATTGATGGATTTACTAAGTATCTGCTATCCCCAGAATGTGATATATTTGATCCTCTCCACAAAAAGGTTAACCAGGACATGACACAACCACTATCACACTACTATATCAACTCCTCACACAATACATACTTAATTGAGGACCAATTTAGAGGTCCAGCAGATATAAATGGCTATGTGAGAGCTCTAAAAATGTCATGTAGAAGCATTGAACTGGATGTCAGTGATGGACCAGACAATGAGCCCATCATCTGCAATCGCAACAGTATGACTTCACCACTAGCCTTTCGTAATGTCATAGAGGTTGTAAAACAAATATGCCTTCATCTCCTCTGAGTACCCGCTTATTCTTTGCATTGGAAACCACTGCTCAGTACAGCAGCAAAAGGTCATGGTGCAACATATGAAGAAGATCTTTGGAAGCAAACTGTACACTGAAATGCCTATGCCAGCAGAGTCCTATCTTCCATCTCCTGAAAAGTTAAAGAAGAAAATTATTGTAAAAGGCAAAAAGTTGCCTTCAGATTTTGACCTCTTAGAAGGAGAAGTGACAGATGAAGATGAGGAAGCTGAAATGTCTCGGAGAATGTCAGAGGACTACTTTGGTGAACAGAGACTGATCAAGCTTTGTAGAGAGCTGTCTGACTTAGTATCTATTTGCAAATCAGTGCAATACAAAGATTTTGATGTCTCTATGAAAAGCCAAAGCTATGGAGAAATTTGCTCATTTAGTGAGAGTCAGGCTAGTAGAATTGCTAATGAGTATCCTGAAGACTTTGTAAATTACAATAAAAAGTTTTTATCTAGGGTGTATCCAAGTCCAATGCGGATCGATTCAAGTAATATGAATCCACAGGATTTTTGGAACTGCGGTTGTCAGATTGTTGCTATGAACTATCAGACCCCAGGCCCAATGATGGATCTCAATATTGGCTGGTTTCTTCAAAATGGTGGATGTGGGTATGTCCTTCGACCATCTATTATGCGAGATGAAGTATCTTATTTCAGTGCAAACACCAAAGGCGTTGTGCCTGGTGTATCCCCTCAGGTTCTCCACATCAAAGTCATCAGTGGACAAAACTTTCCAAAGCCAAAAGGTGCATGTGCAAAAGGTGATGTGATTGACCCATATGTATGCATTGAAATTCATGGCATTCCAGCAGACTGTGCTGAACAAAGGACTAAAACCATGCAGCAAAATGGGGACAACCCAATTTTTGATGAGAGTTTTGAATTCCAGATAAACCTTCCGGAGTTGGCAATGGTGCGCTTCATGGTTCTTGATGATGACTACATTGGAGATGAATTTATTGGTCAGTACACTGTATCCATTGAGTGCTTACAGCCAGGATACAGACATGTGCCCCTGCGATCATTTGTTGGAGACACAATGGAACATGCTAAACTGTTTGTTCATATTGCAATTACCAACAGGGGAGGAGGAGGAAAAGCTCAAAAGCGTGGTTTGTCTGCCAGGATAGGGAAGAAAGCCAGGGAGTACACAATGCTGAGGAACACTGGTCTTAAAACTGTAGATGACATCTTCAAACTTGCTGTTCATCCACTGCGGGAGGCCACTGATGTCAAGGAAAACATGCAGGTGATTTTCTTTAATATTGAAAGTATATACTTGACACTATATAGATTTGTTTGGATGTGTATTTTTTCCACTTTATTATGACACTTTTTTATTTTATCTCAAACTTCTTTCTATGACCAGCTTTAGTATTAAAGTGTTACTAAACCCACAACAGTAAAATCAGCCTGTATATGCAGTAAAAACATACTTGTTATACTGTGGAACCTAAGGGGTTAATCCTTTGCATTGTGTAAAAAGGCTGTTTGATCCTGTCTTCTTTGATCCTCCCCTTCTACTGCCCTCAATCCATTTGCTAATAGTACAGAGCTCTGTGAGTCACTATGCACATGATCAGTTTAGTGTGTATGGCTAGAGAGTTTTTTTTCTTGGGAGAGTGCATGTGATCCGCTCAGGGCCAATCAGCACCTCACTGTCCAGACAGAGGGTCAGGGGTTATGCAGCCTCATAGGACAGTCAGAGCAGAATGAAAACTCCTCCTACAAGCTTTTACCAGTGCTCAGCTGGACACTGATAGAGGTTGCAAGACTGCTGTATACTGCTGATGAGAAAAGGTATTTAGCAGTTTATATTTACTAAAATAATTTTATTTATTGATTTTGTTTATTTCAGGTACTTATATAGCGCCATCAATTTACACAGCGCTTCACATATTATACATTCACATCAGTCCCTAACCCTCAAGGGGTGTACAATCTAAGGTCCCTAACTTACATTGATACATACACATACTAGGCCCAATTTGGGCAGGATCCAATTAACCTACCAGCATGTCTTTGGAGTGTGGGAAGAAACCGGAGTACCCGGTGGAAACCCACGCAGGCACAGGGAGAACATGCAAACTCCAGGCAGGAGGTGCCGTGGCTGGGATTCGAACCAACGACCCTAGTACTGCCAGGCGAAAGTGCTTTCCATGTTGTGTGTACTGCGTGAGACCAGATATAGTGAATGCAGAGTCCACTGTTTTGAAATACCTTAACCTCATAGTTGTAATAATTATCTAAGTGTATTATGGGATGATTGTGTATTAATTTATTATTTTTTCAATTTTTCCTCATTAGAATGCATTGGTTTCCTTAAAGGAACTCTGTGGCCTTCCCACCAGCTCTACCCTCAAGCAGTGCATGCTTTCCCTAGTATCACGTCTAGTGAATAGTGACAACACACCTACAGTAAACCTCACCATGAAAGATACGTACCCCAGTTTGGAGCCTATAGGAACGATGCCTGAAGTTCAGAAGAAACTGCTCAATGCCTATGAAATGGTTTGTAGAGATCATGTATGATTTATCTTTTATTATTAATTTAAAGGGTGATCTATTATTCTAAATTCAACTGCTTTAAGTTAGTGCACTTTTTTTTTAGAAATTGCTCAGAAGGCTTACAGCTGCTCAAACAAGCAAATAAGTTGTGAGCTCAGGTGTTTCCATGATGCAATATAAAACATTGAAAAATGTAGTGAGTATTCCATGTATGACGGCAAGAGATGTGCATTCAGGAATATAGGTTGAGGAAATAAAATGCTTCCTTTGCCATTGTACTGTTTCACCTCTGCTTAGATTGCCAAACAGAAAAGAAGCAGTACATAGATAGCTGAACAAACATTTCTGTGTCTTAAAGTGGTTGTAAAATGTTTTTTTTTTTCCTTTTGTGTATGCAAATATGTGGCCGCTTGGAGTCAAGGCCCATCCACCGAGAGGCTGCATATTTGCGTACCATCAACAGGTTAAGTGCTTAAATGAAACCTGGAAAGATAAATACGAGACCAGACGCTGATTTAAAAAAAAAAAGAAAAAAATGTTTTTTAGCTATTGTTTGTGATATTGGAAAAGTATGCTAGACAGGAGTCTGGATTTTTGGACTTCATAGTCTTCATTCTTGTTTCATGTCAGTGACTTATTAGGCAAGAAAGCCAGGATCTGAATGAAAGCTGATTACTTTAAAATTCATTCAACAGTGTCAGTTCCCATGTTTCTATTCTCACAGGTTCACTTTAAAATCTCATCACAAGATTCATGGTAGATTCCCATAATGCAAATAGAATGTTCAAGAGAAATGCAGACATAGGGACTCATTAACTAAAGGCAAATAGGCTGTTCATGGTGCAAGAGAATTTTCACTTTGCAAGGGAATATGCAAAGGGCCCAGGGTCAGTAGGGGGCCCGGTGAGAGGCTCACTGGGCACAATTCACTAAGCGGTATCGTACCGCATCTGAGTATGTGGTAGGATACCGCATAGCATTTAAAAAAAAAAAACATTTGAATTCACAAAAAAATGCTACTAAAATACTGCATGAGTTATTTTATGAAGTCATGCGGTATTTTAGTAGTGAAAACCATGTATTCATGTTTCAGATGTCAGCGGGGTTCCCCACTGACAGCTGAATGTAAAAGAAAAAATTGGCGGCAATTAAAAAATAATTTTAAAAATAGCGTGGGGTCCCTCTTCCATCCCTACCAAGCCCTGCGGGTCTGGTATGGATTTTGAGGGGAAAAAAAATGGCATGGGGATCCCCCCCAAAATCCATGCCAGACCCTTATCCAAGCATGCAGCCCGGCAGGTCAGGAAAGGGGAGGGAGACAAGCGAGCACTTTGGGGCGAAGGGGGGACAAGGGCCTCTGGCCGGTGGTTGTGGGGTCTGCGGGTGAAGGGCTTATCAGAATCTGGAAGCCCCATTTAGTAAGGGGGTCCCAGATCCTGGCCCACCCCCCCCCCATGTGAATGAGTACGAGGTACGCGCTAAAAAGTGTAGTGTGAAAAAAGAAAGGAGACAGTCTTTGACAAGTCCTTTATTAAAAGAAGGAAAATCCCAGAAGTAGATCCAATGTCAATCACGATGCCTGCTGCTACCCAAAAAAAAAAGGCTCCGCTCCCGACGTTGGCTCCCGGCCATCTGACTGCTCCGCTGGCTTGACAGCTATTAAATATGTACGGGGCGGGGCCACCCGTGAACATTACATGTGTGACCCCGCCCCTTGTGGCGTCATCAACCAGGGCATGCTAGGTCAATGATGTCACAAGTAAGTGGGGCCACGTGTGATGTCACTGGGTGGCCCCGCCCCTTTATATTTAAGAACTGTCAGTCAGACGGTCGGGAGTGGAGTCTGTTTTTTGTTTTTGTTTTCTTTTTCTTTTTTCGGGTAGCAGTGGCGACGGGTATCGTCATTGAAGTTAGATCTGCTTCATGGGAAATTCTTTTATTTTTCTTCTTTTAATAAAGGACTTGTCATAGACTGTATCCTGTCTTTTTTCACGCTATTCAGTAGGCAGATCTTAAAAGTTAGAGTTCCACGTATCCCCCCCTCATAGCAAAATTGGTGGGTTTTTTTTTCTGGGAGCAGGTACACTGACAGGTACCCACTCCCACTTCCGCAATTATTGCCTTCTTACATCAGGTTGGGCAACCACCCCTTCTTCCCCACTCACAACCTCCTGGAACATGTCAAACGCCCAAGGAGGCAGTGGAACCCGTCTGAGAGCAACATACAATCATGTGCATTGGGGAGCAGGCTGTGAGACATAAGGAAGTCACAGCCAGCTCCCACATCCAAGATGGCGGTGCCAGGGATCTGAAACCCGGTGAGGAATCAGTTTAGTTAAGACAGCAGTGGACTCCTGGACTGATAAGTACCTGTTTGTTAAAAGTCAGCAGCTACAGTATTTGTATCTGCTGACTTTTTTTATTTTTTTCCAAACAGGAGTGGAGTTCCACTTTAGGCAGACAATTAAAATTTTGATCATCCCTATTCATTATTAAATTCTCTGTTTAAAGTGTGGCCTGACCTTACCATTTCCATTTTTTGCTGTATTGATGCAAGGAAAAAATGTGTTATTTTTTAATTTAAAAAAGCTGACAGTCTTCTTTAGCATTGACCTTATACTGAAATAGGGCTGAATGTATAGAATTCAATTCTGTAAATTCTTTGATATAAATTGTAAAAATGTTTGTATTTTTATTAAAAATACAACCTGATGTGTTGCTTACTTAATCCAGTGTTGTCCATCTCTGTGGAATAGGTCCTTTCTCAGTGAAAGCACCCTGAGCCTAGCCACCCCGTCCTGTCCCTTAAGAATCACTATAGGCCAGTGAGCCTGTCCATTTCAGTGATGCACCAGTTGGAAGGCTTTGAAAATGGGAAAGAGCAGGGCAAAGCTTCCATTGACCCCGGAAGTAAGTGTATTTCAGAGTATCCAGGCATGTTGGGATACTCGGGGTGCCTACACTGAGTAAAGATTTGACATACAGGCATCTGGAGGTACCTTCTTGGTTGTCATATCACTGGATTAGTATGTGACATGTCAGGTTCACTTTAGTAAGTCCTGCTGCATATCTTCCGTTCTGCTCACCAATTGGTACAGAAGAGACTATAAATGTAAGCTTGCTTTGAACTTTTTTTAACTTAACTTTTTTTTTCTATATTCCATATTTTCTTTATTGAAAAAGTTTTTTTCCCTTACAAACACATGTAAAAAATCTAAATACAATAATAATAATAATAACAAAAATAGCAGACTAAACCCAACATTACATATTCAAAACATTACACATTCTAACTGATCCAATTCCTCTGGTCCAAAAGAAAAAAAAGAAAGGAAATCTCATAAAAAATGTTGCTCCAACATTCCCAAGCTTGTTTCATATTTCATATTGTCACCAATTCGGTAACCAACCGTGTGTTTACAGTCATAGTGCTCAAATCTTTTGAAATTCATTTAAAGTTCCCCTATGCTTAAAAGCAATGTTAGTACAGCGATCTCCCCTGCTGTGCTATTGTGTTTTGACAGCTGGACTGCCCCCCCCCCCGCCAGAACACACCGGTAGGCACCCTCAGCCACAGGCTGAGAGCGCTGATCAGAAGTCGATTGGCAGACCTTTTTTGGTCATGCCCCTTCGACAGAAGTCGAACCAGCTGCCATACAGACAGGCCGAATGTCGTTCGGTTTCTGTTGAACCAGCTGATACTGCCTGATATATGGCCCGTGTGTACTTAAAATGTTACTAAACCCACAACAGTAAAATCAGTCTGTATATGCAGTAAAACATGTTTGTTATACTCACTGTGGAACCTAAGGGGTTAATCCTCTGCATGGTGTAAAAAGGCTGTTTGATTCTGACTTCTCTGCCCCTCCGCTTGTTCAAATGTCCACGCTGATAAGACAGACTGAACGTGTAGCCCTTCTGCTCATGCTGCTCACGTTCATGTGTATTGCTAGAGAGTTTTTTTTTTCTCTTGGGCCAGTGCATGTGATCAGCACTGTCCACACAGAGGTCAGGGGTTTTGTATCCTACAGCAGCAAGAAAACTCCTCCTACAAGCTTTAACCAGTGCTCAGCTGAAGTCACAAGACTGCTGTAACTGCTGATGAGAAAATGTATTTAGTAGTTTATATTTACTAAAATAATTGCACTTCCATGTGCTGTGTACTGTGGGAGACCAGATAGAGTGAATGCAGGGTCTTGGGTTTAGTAACACTTTAACCTCACTCGTCCAATGACAGATATTGTATCCATGGTTGCCATGTCTTATCAAACTTAGCTTGGTTTTCATGGAGGGTACATGAAAGTTTATCACTAATTGTGATCCAGTTCAAGTTTTGTTTAACATGATCAAAAGTTATTACTGACTAGTTCCAGCATTGCACAATTATGATCCTTGCAGCCAGAATCATGTACAGTATGAGATTACGTGAATTTGGCTTTCTGGAAATATTATCTGAAAAATTATTCCCTCATCATATTGAGCCCTATGCACCAACAACAAAGTCAGATGATCTGGATGATATTTGCTTTCACTGGCCAAACATCAACTGCCCATGTGAACGTAATGTCATTATAACTTTTCCATTTTTTAGCGATCACAAACCTATCTAGTTTGTGTCCTTGTCAACCTGACGTAATCTTATCTTAATGTAATTCTACAATTTTCGCAAACCTTTTTTTCCTCCCCTGCGTGCATCAGTGTAACATCAAAAGGGGAATAAAGCTCCTAAGTAAAATTCAGGTGTTCACTTTGAGCTTTACCATTTCTCTATATTATATAAAAGTCACAGTAATGTGATATCATTTTAATCAGCAGACTTTGTGATTATATTTTTCTTTAAACATATATGAGGTTGCGCAAATTATGTTAACGTTGCATTGGAAAGGCTTACAGGAAAATGTTTTATTTTCTAATTTTATTTACTATTTAATCCCAGTAGAAACAAAGGAAATAAAAACAAATTAAAGCCCTATCCATACAAAAAAAAATGTTATACAGTACATTAAAGTAGACTACAAATGCTAAAAGGTGCAGGAAAAAAAAACACTC